CCTTTTCTTTTTTTTTAAGAGTATTTGGGATAACGTCAAACGTGAAGTTCCTTTTCTTAATTGGTAGTGAATTTTCCACCTGTTTTATGGCATTTTCCTAAAATAGTCATCAACGTCATCCCACTGATCATTAAAACACTCCTGCATGGTAAATCAGAAAACCAGAGCAAAGTTGCCTGAATCTGAAGACTCTGTGTATATCAGGGACATAACGTAGAAAGAAAAACCCTCTGAATACTATTGCCTCCCCCCTGCTGACTCCTGAGCCAGACGCAGCGTAAAAAGTGTACCCTTTCCTAAAACTAGGAGCACCAGCATTTGTGTGGGGGGGAGGGGGTGTTAGGGATCTGGTGCCTGACTTCCATACTGTGCAGCATCACCTCAGTTAAGCAGAAACTCAAGCTCATTACAAACATGTTTTAGCAACAGCAAAGGGGTCCAAGCAGAACCAGAATGACCTCAGATTTGTGCAACTGACTCCTCTAGCATCCACGAGGCCTAAAGGGGTTGAGCCTGAAGGAGGGGGGGTATGGGAGTATGGGGGCGGGGAATTGGGGGGTGTTCCTCTAGCCACCGGTGGGTACTTCCGCTCCTCTGAAGCAACTAACATCTTGAAGCTGAAGATGCAAAATAAAATCAGAACTCTCAGAACACATTAGTAAAACCAGGGCATAAGAAGGGCAGGGAGAATAGGTATTAGGAATCCTTTAAAGTTAATTTTCTTTGCCCCAATCAATGTCAATGGGGCAAGTGTTGAGAAGATAGATAACCCACCCTACACCCTCCCTGACCCCCACAGGCTTCTATGCAGGGTCCTGTCAGTCCTTTCAAAGCTCCCTCTCAAAGTCACTGAGAATATTCTCCCTGGTCTAGGTGCTGCTTCTGACAACCCTCCTGCTCTGTTTCCCCATCCTGCTGAGGAACTGGATTAGTCAATCCACTACTAGGGGGAGAGGAGGAGGTGACAAGTTAAAACCAAATATCACTGCTTGGCTCTGAGCTCTGAGACATATCCCACTCGCTTGCAGTATTTTTCTTAGGTGCTTGGGGATTTCATGCTGAAGGTGGTGGTGGAGGTGGGAGATGGGTAGGGGCTCGGAGTCCTTCAGTGTTGTGGTGGTTTGAAAGAAAATGGCCCTCATCAGCAGTGGCACTATTAGGAGGTGTGGCTTTGTTGGAGTAGGTATGGCCTTGTTGGAGGAAGTATGTCATTGCAGAGGTAGGCTTCGAGGCCTCCTATGCTCGAGCTATGCCCAGTAACACAGTTCACTTCCTGTTGCCTATAGGTCAAGATGTTGAATTCTCAGCTCCTTCTCCAACACCATGTCTGCCTGCATGCTGCCATGTCCCACCATGATGATAATGGACTAAACCTCTGAACTGCAAGACACCCCAATTAAATGTTTTCCTTTATCAGTGTTGCCATGGTTATGGTGTCTCTTCACAGCAATAGAAAACCTAACTGACACAAGTGTGATTGTGTCAGATGGTAAGGGCATCATTTTATAGTCTCCTATCTTTTCAGCTGTCCTTCTGATTTTGTTGCAGCTATGACCAGGAAAAGATGACTCTTCATTTTGGCCTAAACAAATCTAATGTCCTAACATGGAATATCAACCTCCCCCTTGATGTGTGGCACGAGCTCTATCTTCTATCATGGTTGACTGCTGACATTGTTGCTAACTAACCTTTGTCTTTAGTACGTTATCCCACTTTTCTAGGACAATCAAAATCACATAGTAATGCTTCCCAAGTGTCTCCAGATCCAGTGAATGATCAAGGGCAAGCCGCTGTGTTTCTTCTTCTGTGAACTTGGTAAGCTTTTCATGCACAAAGACTTGATCTTCATATTCTACAGGGAATTTTCTTTTCTTTTCTTTTCTTTTCTTTTCTTTTGTTCCTTTCTTTTTTCTTTTCTTTTTCTTTTTCTTTTTCTTTCCAAGACATGGTTTCTTTGTGTAGTTTTGTTGCATGTCCTGGATCTTGCTCTGTAAACCAGGCTGGCCTCGAACTCACAGAGATCCGCCAGGCTCTGACTCCCAAGTGCTGGGATTAAAGGTGTGCACCACCAACACCTGGCCTCTTTTTCTTCTTTATGTTTGTCTTTAGGATACAATACCATATGGTAGACACACGTGTACAAGTTGGTAGATTCATGAATTCCCATGAAGAACCTCCGAGAAAAATGTTTTGTTGTTTTTGCTCTACGAAACATTTTTAATTTTGTGCAGCTCCTTCTTGCTAATAGGACTACACATTCCATATTTTCATCTCTTTCTAGATGTATAGGCAACAGAAATACTTGGAGTCTATGCTGACAATACCTACTACAGAAATTACCAGATTCCATTATTGGTGCCACCCTGCATAGCTAGACCCAGCAAATAAGCCAAAACTCCTGACAGCTTGTTGTAAACATTGGGATAATATCAAATCTGATTAAGCCACTGCCCCACATTTTTATTTCTCAACATAAATATTTCATAGGAATGAACCAACATTTTTTTCCATAGGTACAAAGGGGTATTTTAATCCCCTTTTAACAGGGCAGGGTTAGAAGTTAACATGCATAGACAGTGTGGCTATGAATGCAGGCTTTGCACACAGCGGCCTGGCTGACCTTTTAGCCTTCTGGAGTTTAACCATTTCCTGATGTCTTTTAACAGTCATTTTCTTGTTGGAAAAGCCCTCTCTAACCTGATAGCATCTAAACAAGCCTCTACCTTAATTGGAAAAACTCTCCCATAAATATTTATGCTGTAGTGATTAGACCATTTACTGAACTCAACTGCCCATTATGGGTTAAAACAGGGAGCATTGTTCGGGGTTGCCTAAAGCCTGACATGGTTTATTGGAGGGGACCCGAACCTGTAATTTATTTAATCAAGCCTCTGACCCCAGCCCTCTGGAGTAGCTAGTAATTGTGAGGAAGAACTAAGCCGCAGCCACGTTGACTAGAGCCTGTTGTATTCTGGGTTGTAAATTCTCAAAGTCTAATTGGAAAGAAACAAGAAAAAGAGTAAAGTATACTGAAATAAACACTCAGATAAGTTAGAACACGGGCAACCCTGTGGACAGATGATAGCGGAATCGCGTTTGAAAACGCCAACTTTAGAGGCAGCACCTGGGTGACTGTGCAGCCGGGATCCCTCCTACAGGGCCTGCTGGTCCTCTGCAGCTGTGTGCCCGCTGGATGCTTCTGAAGCCCTTCACCCAAGCGCTGGGAGGGTAGTGCATTGCATTTTGATGTTTAAAATAGACCAGATTTGGAGGTGGAGAGTGTAAAATCTGTTAGAAGGAGTGCTGCCCCAGCACAAATCCTACGTGGTTGGAGCCCAAGGTGAGAACACACCTGTTCATCCTCAAGGGCTATCAGCATCGGCCTACGCCATCTTTGTGGTGCACAGGGGTGAGTGGTGGGTGTGAGTGTGTGGCTACTCCACGTTTGTGTCTTGTGTGTGTGTGTGCGCGCGTGCATGAGAGAGAGAGAGAGAGAGAGAGAGAGAGAGAGAGAGAGAGAGAGAGAGAGAGAGAGAGAGAGAGATTAAACAGCTGCAAACGTGTACATGTGGACACCATGTCCATGTGTCCAGGTTTTTGTTTCTTTTCTTTTCTTCCCCTCTCTGGTTGAAGACACTCTCCATTTCTGAGCCACAATTTATCCGTATTTTATAACAAAGACAAACCTCTTCCCTTGTGCACTTCCAACCTTCCAGCTGTGTGTTGGGCAGAACGTATTTTCTTATTTAAGCCATGTACTACCGCTGCCTGACCACCATTCAGGAAAAAGAAACAAAGTAAAAAAAAAAAAAAAGATAACAGCTTATGAAACCATAAAGCATCCTCCCTTTGTTTAATTGCATCTTACTGCGGACCTTGTCTTCGGGAGCCCCCCATGGAGTTTGGCCATCCAGATATCTTTTAATGGCTTTTCCTGTCTGGTTTTTCTGTAGCAAGCATTTCAAACACTGTCAGTATATCAAAAGTGCGTCCCAGGCCGGCCTCTGTCCCATCCCAGCACTGACACTCAAAGCATCTTCTGCAGTCAGTGGGAGGAAGCGAAACAGCTTAGTTTCCCAAAGGATTACATTCACAGGCTGTGTGGTTTCTGAGGGCCATGTGACTTCAGGTCCTGCACTGTGAAATACTGCTAAAGGAGGCTGTATTAGACATCCAGAAGGGAGGGTTGCTGCAATAACCACCCAGAGGACTCTTTATGTTAACTAGAGCAAATTATCATGGGCAGAAACCTTAGTATTTGCAGGTCATATTCATATGATATATGATTATATTGTATCATTTCATTCATCTAAGATACATACTGCCTTACAAGGAGTTCTGGACGTACAAGAAAGGGTTAATTTAGTTTATACCAAATGGATTGCCTCACCTTTAATTCAGAAAATCTCTTTGAAGATTCTACTGAGAATCTAATTTATTAGATTTTTCCTGTTAAATTATTCATTCTTCATTCTACTCGGGTGTTATTATCTCTGTCAGAGTGATGGATGTTACAGGAACAGTCATTAGGTTAAAAACTACACGGGTTTTTAAAAATGTTAAAACTCTCGCCAAAACAAAAAAAGCAAACAATAAATGTAATTGTACGAGCTCCTCTGTGAGGGTACGGTAGGATCTGGGGAGACATGGATTTACAATTAATGATGAAAATATCTCAACAGGAGAGAGGAGGGAGGGAGGGAAGAAAGATGCAGGGGCGGGATGCAGATCATCTCCCTGTGGTGTTCCAGCTACTCATTCCTTAGTTGCTCTGGACATATTTGGAAGCCACGCTTGCCCTTTCTTGGGCACAGTACACTCCACCCTCCCAGTCCTAGCCAAAACTCAAAAAAGCACATCACAGATGAAAAGCAAAAGCAGGCAATGTTATTAGAACCTGGCCAGGAAAAGCCAAGTATGCATTGGTAAAGGATGTTCTTTCTTCCATTTCCTTATCAGTTGCTGCTCTTACCTTGTCTTCCCTCAGGGTTCATCACAGTTTCAATAATATTATTCATTTAAACTATCAACAGCCACCTTTTCCTGTCTTTTTTACGTTTAGGAAAAACTGAGAAGCAGAAAGGTCAGTGTCCTGTTACAACGTTGGTCACTGGGAAAATTCGGTATGCCGATTTAAATAGTGTGGTTCCAGACTTCATGAGCTTAAGTACTGTGAAATATAAGGAGTCCTTAATGAGTTTAGAAGTGGAGTGCTTTGTCTCCATCTACCCCTGAGTCCACAAAAGGTATCGCTGAGGGAGAAAGAGCCCCAAATATGGCATGGTCACACACTCTTTCTACCCTCCATTGAAGAGCTCAGAACATATGACCTTTTTTTTTAAGCAGAAATGGGTTGAGAATAGCCACATGCCGAATGAGCCCTCTGCCCTTATTTCTACCTAAATCCAGGCATTAATTTCCCATGAGAAAGATGGCTGCCTCGAACCAGGAAGAGGACAAGATTCTTATGGCCAGAGGGGACAATGGCTGCCAAGATGAAGATTCTGTGCAAACCAACCTTACTAAGATAGCCCTTACTTCCCCTCCACTCCACGGGCTCACTGTTCACTTGCCCACAGTTTGCTCTTATTGGTCCAGACTTCCTCCCCTTTCTCACTTTAGGCCCCACACCTCAGGTCCAGGGTTCACTGTCCGTTAGCTGATCCATGCCAGCTTCCTGCATTGTTTGGTGTTGGGTGGTCCTATTTTCATCTGTCAGTTGGTGTCTGATTCACACCACACCCTCGGCTCTTGCACAATGGAGAATTAAGGTTGAGAGGCTTGCTAGTGTTGCCTGTCACACAGGTAATGGAGTCAGACTGGGACTCAACCCCCAACGTGTTTGCAAAGACCATAGGGACAGCACAGCCCTGCACAGAAGAGTCCCATGGAGTACGACTGCTTTCCTTTTGGAGAAGCTAGTGAGCTTCACCTCCCTCTCCCGATGCTCCACCAAGGGGATGGCCCTGTTTCATGGCAAGAGGAAAATCTGGCTCTGACAGATCCATTCTATTCCAGACAAACTGCCTATGCGTAAGTCTTGATTTACCACTTACCTATGTGACTTAAACTCTGAGCCCTGCTTCCCCTTCTATGAAACAGAAGTACAGAAAGTACCCAGTGGAGAGAGCTGTGCTGATTAATTTAGGTTATCTACAGGAAACTCTCAAGAAATACTAGTCAGTAGCTAGTATTAGAGGAAGCCGTTTTCCTCCTCCACTCTCCCTTCACTACTGTGGTGATCTATTGTGTACCCTAATAAACTTTGCCTGAAGATCAGAGGACAGAACAAGCCACTAGATTAAACACAGAGGCCAAACAGTGGTGGCACACACCTTTAATCCTAGCAGTCTGGAGGCAGAGATTGTCTGGATCTCTGTGAGTTCAAAGCCACCCTGGACTACATGAGATTGATTCAGTCTAGGAGAGAAACAGAGCCAGGCAGTGGTGGCACACACCTTTGATCCCAGTACTTGGGAGTCACATGCCTTTAATCCCAGTACTTGGGATCTCATGCCTTTGCTTGGGAAGCACACAGGCCTTTAATCCCAGCACTAGGAAAGTTGAGAGAAGAAATGGTATGGGTGGGCAGAGAAAGGTGTATAAGGTGTGAGGAGACAGGAACAAAAGCCTTTTCAGCTAAGGAATCTCACTGGGCAGCTAGAGGCCTTTCAGGCTGAGGCTCTTTCAGGCTAAGGGGTTGATGTGTTAAGAGGTAGTGGCTGTGGCTTGCTCTGCTTCTCTGATCTTTCAGCTTTCACCCCAACATCTGATTCTGGGGTTTTTTTTTTTTTTTTTTTTTTTTTATTTAAAGACCTATTAGAAGTTCGTGTTACACAACCAGGTGTCTGAAAAGATCAGAAACACCAGATCCCTGCATTTTCTCACCTTCTTCCTGACGCTCGCCACACAGGGTGATCCAGTGCCACTTGGAAAGTCTTTCCGAACCGCTGACAATCTATTGTCAGCACTCTCAGGTTTGCAGCATCTCCAACACCTCTCTCCGTTTTTCTCCCCCACAAATACTCTGGGCCTAACGTGTGTGAGCCCAGAGCAAGCTCTTCCCCATACTCACTCACTTTCATTCCTCTTCTCAGCTGTTCTACTATCACGCTCCACTCTCTGAAACACACCACAGCTAGCCACTGGTTTGTCGAGGAGTATTTGGATTGTCTCTAGTCTGGACTGTTACAAATAGCTCTGTTCTGAATATTCTAATGTGTGCATCCAGCCACGTGAACATGTTTCTCTACTACATAATGACAAAGCATCTTCCCAAGTGATGGGATCCAATGGATAAGGCATTCATTGAGAGAGAATGGTTCCTACAGCTCAGCATCATGACCAAGCACCAGCTTTCGTGTTTTGGGATCTACAGTATGTGTTTAGTAGTATCATTATTTGCATTTCCGTGGAGATTACAACTTAAATGTATTTGCATGTGCCTCTTATTCTGCACATAGCCTGAACCCTGTGTCTTAACTAGTTTGGCAATTTTGTCTACTAACTAAAAATATTACCCCATACTTATTTGTTACCATAGTTGACATATTTCGATTGGCTTCCACTTTCTTATTTTGTACTTACTAAATTTTTTGTGTTTTCTATGTTTCTTTTAACATATGTATTTTATCTAACAAACATATGTATTTAATCAAAAAATCTAAAGCTAGTCACATGTATATTGGAGAAATATAAATTCTCCCCTTATTATTTTAATCATTAACCTAAAAATGTTAACATGTGCATTTAATTTAGTAAATGCTAAATAAAACTAATAAAATGCGCTTACCAGAATATTTTGGTTATATCATTATTACACCCATGAAATTAGACATTGTTGTTACTGTTTATACAAATGGTTCTCATTTATCTGTTCTTACATTTTTGGAGTGCTATTGATCAAAATACATCAGTGTTATTTGCCTGAAAAATTATATTATATTCAAACTTTAAAGATAAATTTTCTGGGTACAGGACAATAGATTGGTGAGCTTGTTTTTGTTGACACTTTTATCACTGAAAAGTTGGTTGCCAATTTAAATATTATTCTCCTACAAAGATGTAATAGACAACTTTGGGATGTGGCTGCTGTTGCTATTGCTATTGCTTCTTATCTATCTATTAAGAAGTGGATAGGGATGGGGAATCTTTAGCACTAAAATTTAGAATACAAAGTGTTGATTTAGACTGATTTTAGTTCAACTTGCTTAGAACATTTTGGACTTGCTGCTTCTGAGAATTCAGACCTTATCTTTAAATACTGCCTGTCTGAATTATCTCTGCTCTTCATCTAGAAGTTCAGTTAGGCAAGGGCTACACTGCCTCTAAACTTGCCCTGGTTCTTTATGACTTTTTCATAGTATTTTATCTCCTTTTCTTGCTGAATTTTACATTTCTTCAGATATTTTCCTGATCATTAATACTTCCTATTCACTAATTCTCTCTTCAGCTTTGTCTAAGTGACTGATGTTCACTGTCCTTTTTATTTCAATCATTATAATTTTTCTGTCTACAGTTTCAATGAGTATTTTAAGTCAGTTCACTTTTAAGGTCCCTTGTCCTGTATTATATTCACACTTCAAATGTTTCTTATTTTTTTAAACATATTGAAGACAGTAACTCAGTGATTATAACAAACATCTAAAATATATGGAAATCTGAAGCTAATGCTTTTATTTTTAAATGTGTTGGACTATTTTGTGCTTTTAGTTTTGTTTTTGTTGACATGTGTTCATGGCTGCTTCTTTCTTCAAATGCTATAACTTTGCTATCATAAGCACAAGTTAAATCAAAAACATTTTTCCTTGGGAAGTTTTAAGGCCTACTTTGGACTTTTAAGGTTTTCTTTACTCTGCCAGCTCATTACTTAAGGGGTAGATATAGCTCAGTAGTAAAGAACTACCATGTATGTGTATGAGGCCCTGGGTTCAACCCCATCACCACATGTTGTGAAGACATTTGACTGAGCATTGTTAAGAGTAAGGTATGGTCTTAGGATCTTTAGTCAGTCATCATGCTTTAAATACCAGCACTCCCAGAACATAGAATATCATGCCACAGCTTCTTTATTGAACATATAACAGAGGCTGAGGTGATGACTAAGCAGGTAAAAATGCCTACACACGAAGACCAAACTTAAGATCCCCTAGAATGCATAGAAAAATCCAGGCAGATGAGGCCATGTGCTGGCTAGATTTTATGTCACGTTCATATAGGTGAGGGTCATCTGGGCAAAGAACTTCAGTTGAGAAAGTACCTCCATCACATTGGTCTTTAGGCAAGTTTATTAGGCATTTTCTTGGTTAATGATTGAAGTAGGAGGGTCCAGCTCACTGTAGGTCATACCTTAGGTAGGTGGTCCTGGTTTGTATTTCTTATACAAATGAGCAAGCCACAAGAAGCACACCAGTAAGCAGTATCCCCTTTATGGCCTATGTTTCAGTTAATGCCTTGAGTTCCTGCCCTAACTTCCCTCAGTGATGGGCTGCGATCTGTGAAGTGAATAAAATTCTTTAGTCCCCAGGTTGTGCCTAGTCATGGCTGTGGAATAATCCTCTTGTACACTGTAAAGATTTGTCACTCAAATTGGTTTAATAAAACACTGACTGGCCAGTAACCAGAAGGAAGTATAGACGGAGTGACCAAACTAAGAAGAGGAAGGGAGGAGGAAGGAGTCACCAGCCAGACACATAGGAAGCAAGATGAGAATGCCATACTGAGAAAAGGTACCAAGCCACATGGCTAAACATAGATAAGAATTATGGGTTAATTTAAGTGTAAGAGCTAGTTAGTAATAAGCCTGAGCTACTGGCCGAGTTTTTATAATTAATAGAAGCCTCTGTGTGGTAATTTGGGAACTGGCAGGCAGGAGAGAAATGTCTAACTACAGGTCATGACATTTATCACAGCAATAGAAATGGAAATAGGACAAGCAGTCACCTATAAGCTCAGCACTTGGGAGACAGGGACATGGGATCTCTGGATTGTGCTGGCTATCTAGATTAGCCAGAATTGGCAAACTCCAAGTTCAGTGAGAGACCCTGCTTCAGAAAATAAGTTGGACAGTGATCTAGAAAAATACCCAACATCAACTTCAGTCCTCGGCGAGCATAGAGCATGTCTACACACACAATCGTACCTGTACACAAATGAGCACACACACACACACACACACACACACACACACACACACACACACACACATGCATACTACCTATATGTACATGTACAGACAAAACTTTAAGAACCTAAAGCAGATTTCATAAGATATTTGAGATATTTACCCCCACATTTTCCTCACATAGAGTGCACTGAAGCTTCAGAGGGAAGAATTTCTCTTTTCCAGTATCTCTCCCATAGCTACAGAGCAAGGATTCTCCATAAACACATGCTTTAAGGATCCTGACTCTCCCTGTATTTCCACAAAAGGCTTGTTTACTGTGAGACTCCTGGGTTGCAACATATCACTGATCTTGCACCCTCTCCACTGGATTAGACCCCTTGTAGGTGGGGGGGTCTTTTTTGCTGTCATTGTAGTCTCAGATCTTAGTGTCCAGTTGGCTTATAATAAGCAATAAATAAACACTGTCTCAAAAGAGCAAGATCCCCAGTGCAGAAGACTGGCCGGGGAACCAGGAGAAATTGGCCTTTCTCATTTAAAGAATGGCACTAGATCCCACGGTTCTGGTGAGATGGAACCAGCTGCCTATGCTGCACCGATGGAAACCAAGGAGCTGGCTCGATGGACAGGGCCTGATGTCGTCTTTTCTGAAAGTTTTAACTTAAGGCCCAGAGAAGGAGAGAGAACGGGCTTTTTTCTTTCCTTGTGCAGCGATTAGAACTGTTTCCTTCCTGCTGTGGATTCTGACGAATAACTGAAAAGGAAGAGCTAACGCCATTGTCATCCATCTATTTTAAGGAAAACAGATGTGAAACACTCTCAGATATTTGGTTTTTCTAAGCTTTGTAAATGAGCTTAGATTGGCAACCTTGAAATAGTAGCAAATGTGGTAGAATGATGGTCTCCTATAAACTCCCATAAATAAGGGTTTAAATATGGTCTTCAGTATATTTTGGGGTGCTGTCCCTAAGTTAAGATCTTGAGTCTCTTGATATTCCACTACTGGATGTCATTTCAGCCGATGCACTCTTGGCAGAAGTCTCCTATGACTGTGTCAGCTCACCTATGGGGCCAGGGTAAGTGATACTGGGGGAACCTGGCAGCTGGAACACAGATCATTCCCTTTTCTGCATGGCCTGCTTGGGCAGAGAGATCCAGATGCAGCCTGTGGATGCCACACATGTGCCTCATTGGGATTCAGAAACCTTCCTTTGACTTATTGGCTTCCCTTCACTTTTTAGTCTGTCGTGTTTTCCAGAAGTTCTGTCACAGAACCTGACTTGACCCTTATCCTTTGTTCTGTAATTCTCTACAGAAACAGAAATAATCCCCCTTCTCACTACTGCCAGAGTGATACTGTGAAACACTGTATATAATATATATATATATATTATATATATATGCATATATAATATATATGAGACTGGAGAGGTGGCTTAGTGGCTAAGAGCACATATAGCTCTTCCAAAGGACCCAAGTTCAATTCCCAACACCCACATCAGGTAATCACGTAGCTCACAATCAGCTGTAACTACAGCTTCAGGAAATCCAACTCCTCTAGCCTTCTTTGACACCTGCACTCACACACACACACTCACACACTCACACACATACATACTCATACACGTGCTCACACATACACAATGTAAAATAATAATAATAATAATAATAATAATAATAATAAATAGTAATAAGAGCGTTTGTCACTCTTGCAAAGGATCAGAATTCGGTTCCAGGTACCCACATCTGGCAACTAACAAGTGCATGCAACTCCAGGTTTAAGGAATCTAATGACCTCTTCTGGCTCCTCCATGAGAACTTGCACATATGTGTACACAATCCCCCAACACACACATGCACATATAAATAAAAATGAACCTTAAAGCCTATTTTTTAAACTACAAAAATAAAATGACTAATAATTTTCCCTAAAATTCTTATGAATTTCCCAAGATATAGAAATATAAAAACTCTGTTCTATAAATCAGAAAAAATAGGTAATCGAGCATAATTTCAAACATAAATTCTTATATGTTCATCTTTCTGACACTCCCCAGCCCACAATTCGGATCTGTACCCTGCTCTTTGAAATGATGCATCAACATTCTTAGCACATGTATGATAAACCAGGTACAGTGTTTATGTCTGATATACAAAGGCACATTTCCTTACTATCAAATATTCATCCCATGTGACAGATTTCATGAAGAATGAGTTTACAACGACAAGTGAAAAATAGATAATCTGTACCTCCTCGAACTACTACTGAGAGAGGTCCGTACTGGATGGCTATTCCAGAGGATCAAATGATACATTGTGACAAACATTGTATAAGATAATGGTAGAGGGTTGGGGGTGTATCTCAGGGGTCCAGTATTTGCCTGATTTGAATAAGGCCTCAGTCTCATTTTTAGCCATTGACAGGTAGGGACAAGAATGCAGCTAAATGAATGGAAATTATTGATGTTTTGTGATCAGGAAAAGTAAATTTAAGCCAGCAGTGGTTCAGACACACACACACACACACACACACAC